TGTGGAAAGTTCTTTGGCGACTTTCTGGTTATTCACTGTTGCCGCTGCTCGCCGCTTTCACAGCGCCTCCTACAAAATGGCCTTACAAACATGTGTATCTTTATATGTATGTATGTATCATAAGAATAAGTATGTAGGTTTACATTCCCTGCATTGTAACCGCAAAACGTTGTTCATTCCGGCTTTGTTCGTCTACCGAGTGGAGCGTTGTGTCGCAGCTGCTTTTTAAGCACTCTCTTTACTATTACTCCAAATTTGGAGCCGCTTGCTTTTAAACTTGTTCTTTGCTGGTACGGACACACAAATGCAACACACTCACRCATATGTATATTAAGTGTACACAAAAAATATTATAAACTCTGCGCCGCACATCATAATGTTGCCTCATCTACTCCGCAGAGTCCGCCGGTTTGCTGCCATTTATTTACCTCAGTTCAAATTCTTAATGTGGTCCTTTTGGTCGCAACCGGCTTTCAGCTCATTTCATACACGCACACACTCGCAGCACAGCGCSCGTATGGTGTGTATGTGCGCCAAGCTAGCAACGTGCAACATGCCGCATAACAAGCTTCAGTCAGTAGCAGCGGGTTTTGTTTTTGCTAGTGACTTGCTTCGTCTGCCTTCTGCTTCTGCGGCTTGTCGTCGGCTGCTTGGTCAGTTGGGRCAACTTCAGTTTGGCGACTTGAAATGAGAAATATGCAAAATGTTGACGACAACCGAAAATCGCCAGCAAAAAACGCGCCACAAAAGTGTTGGTGRAATTGTTTGCTCGACGGCTCCAGTCCCTAGCGATTGCTTGGAACTTGTAAATATGTTTGTAGTAGTTTATTTTTAATATTTTGTAAACGGATTATGCCAAACAAGTGTATAAAGCGAGTCGGAATGAAGGAAAAAATGTGCGGCAGCCGCATTTCAGCGAAGACAAAACTGGATAATTATGTCGGTATGAGGAAGAATGGAGAATAATAATGTAATTCGATGCAGGCAAGGCTTCTTTCAAGTTTTGCTTTTTTTAAATTTGTATATATATTTTTTTTATTCTAATAAAAATGCATTTTTTGTTAAGTTGTCTGATGAGAGAAAATTTCTGTCTGAAACCCTAAAAAAATTTTAATAAACAAAATACGCAGCGAAAGAACTCTTAAGACAATGAAGTAATTGAAGGAACGGACTTAATTCTGAGATGGCACAGAAAATTTCTTTGAAAAAAATAATAATATACTGTAGTAGTGACTCTTTAAAAATAATTAGACTAGATGGAGATTCCAGAAACTAGTATGGATTACGCAGTTGAGTCTTGATGCTTAGTCAGGGAGTCAGTGTAAAGCCGACTGAGGCCTTAGCCAGTCCAGTCTCAACCAATATTATTATGGTATACCTTGATTATACCATGATGTCTATAACACCCAAAAGAAAAGTCGTTTTAGCCGCCTTTCGGCTGTGCATATACGAACTAATGCCTCAGTTTTTGAGACATCGATATGAAATTTAGCACCCGTCCTTTTCTTACCTAGAATTTCATATTCTAGAGAAGACTCTTAGAATATTTAGTTCCAAATTTTTTATAATCAACAAAATAAATTTTCTTATGGGTTACATTGAGGATTTCGGTTGACTATGAAAAGCCGGAACGCAGTCAATACCAGGGCATAGAAGAAGTCCTAAGATAGGTTAAACTCCTAAAAAATAGTTTCCATCTGGTCGTAAGTTTTCACAGCTATTGTGAGATTCATTCTCTTCTTCTTTTGGTTTTCGTAAACTACTATTCCGACTTTGTATATAGTATGCAACAGTAAAGCCAATAATTTCAGCTCTACYAAATCATGCAACTCTTTTATTAATGAAAGTCTTGGAATACTGCAAAATACCAACTTTAAACAATAATGGCAACTAAATACGCTCATATTTGATTAATKATCTCCAATCGGTTCACCACCTTCACGGTTATGTTGCTTCGATTTTACAACCCTTTGAACACAACCAATATGTGTGCCGACAATCTCTTTTCCTTGCAATCGCTGATAACCCCACGGCTTGTCATGCATTATTTCAATTTTCTTTGCGTCTCGTGAAGCTTATGAGATCACTACCCAACTCATAAATCATCCCTGTAACATGCTTGGCACTCGTCATTGAGTATCATTAATCAGGCTTGCGTATTGCTTAAGTGCACTTGTAATCGACACTGCGTCAACCAGTCAACATGTGACSAAACGTGCTCTTTTCTTCAATCTTGGCTAAGATAATGATTTCTAAATATCCGAAGAAAGTGYGTGTTAATCATTTTGAAAGCGGTAGATGGATATTTCTTTCACAAGACTTTGTTTTGCTTAGAATTGGTTGAGATTTAATAAATATCATTATATAGTGCATATAGTATACAAGTCTGACAGAAACTTCTTCATAAATTGATTTCTAAACGCTTCTTGTTATTAGAGGACGTCAAAAGACTTGTTAGGGAACAGCTTTTAGCGAACTTATGTTTCCATTTTATTTTAAACCTCAATCCTAAATATTGTCTTGAAAAACTTTAGAATTATTAAGCTCCAAATATCCGTATTAGCAACAGCCTTTAGAAAATACAAAAGCACGAAATGGTAATTGCTGATTGAAACTGACGAAGCAAAATTATTAGTATGAACTAATTTTTTTTATTAAGATTAAAGAGAGAGAGACATTCATATATTATTATTATGTTCCAAAATTGACCTAATTCAAATTCAAGAGCAAGCGCAGTGTAAATYATAAACTGAAAAATCTTTCTGAGTTTCTGAGAGAGCCAGTTTGCTGCCCGAAACCGTGTTTTTGAAATAATTGTTAAATACTCTTTAACAAAAGAATCAATAATTATATCATTCTAAGCAAAGATTTCACTGTTTAATTAGCAGACATGCCATTGGACTAAGAATACTTTATAATGACTACTGTAGAAGCTGCCAGTAGATAGAAGAAGATTATTAAGGTCATCTTCTATGCGATTAACAAAGGCATCGCGACTATCGGTCGAGGGTTTCATAACGATGTTGCGGAGGTATCACAGATAAAACTGTTTGTACTGAAGACTTTCATCGAAAGGATATAAAAGAGAATATATAAAAACGGAGAAGCTTTTATTCTCGGTGGTTTCCCAATAAGCTTTTTGAAGGATAGTCGTCAGACAGCCACCCTTATTACCTATGAAGGCCTACCTATTAAGGCATTAGCATTTAAAGTTCTTCAAGTTGAGATGCATTTTATTTACATTTTTGAATTTCTGAAAAATAAAAATATCAAACTCAAATTCTGGTATGGRAAACTTTTCGATTTGAMAGGATATCTACAYGAAATTTATAATATATTATTGTGCAAGGCAACGGTACAATCTCCGAACAAATTGTTAAGACATATGTAGCTGTCACCGCTCAAAATAAGTTCTTGTGTGRAAACTATTTTTTTCTGTGAAGGGTATTATCGCTTCGATATAACGGAAGTTAGCATTGTCTTATTTTTCTTTCTTCAAAGTATAACGCATGATTGAAATTTTTTAAAATATTTACGTTGTGATAATGCACCATCGCCTGGAGCCATGATTGTGACCAAATTTAAAGCCAGAAACGCAATGAATATCAACGGTCAACCACAGTGTTCACTAGATTTGACACTGCTTRATTTRTTTTTMTTTTCCAAACTGAAACTGSCGCTCCGTAGAGCCTGTTTTCAGTCGAWCGAAGAGATAAAACGAAATTCGCTGAATGGGCTAAAGGTCAAAAGGTGCTCATGAAAAGTGTTTCGAGRACTGAGAAAATTTTTGCCATAAGTGTATTACATGTGGTGGGGAATACTTTGAAGGCGAAAAAATAAATATTGCGTTTTATTTACAATTTCAAAGTACTTTTTCGTCACAACTTATATACCAAATGGTCCCACTTTCGAAAAACTTACCGCACTACTTTACACTGGAACTGTACTTTTCCTTAGCTGACAGACAATGCTCATAAACGAAAAGTTACTATTGATTTCAGAACTCACGTATGCCTCTCGGATCGAACAATTTTATATATACCGTTAATTATTTGTCCACATTTTTTGCTCCAAATATATTCTTAACTAACTGATTTTTAAAGAAGTTCAAATAGATTGAACTATTCCAATATTTATTACTTGGCATTCCATAGTTTCTAATAGTAAATAATTTCAATAAAATCGACTATGCAGAATTCAAAATCATAGCTGAAAGATAACTGAAACATTTGACCTTCAATTTATTCCCAAACGTTAGGAACCCTTTGAAATTGTTTCATATAATCAAGCTCTTAAGGGTTAACAACATTTATTAAATCGTTTCAACTCTGTCGTAACTACGGTAACGGCAATCAGCCGGTCAACCAGCCAGTAACCAGCGAACAACCAGACCGGCAATAAGTTACTTTGCCAGTCAAGCAAGGGTTATACGTTTGTGAGTGTGGCTGGACTATGGAAGCGTGCAAAAAGTTAGCAACGAGTTGGAGTTCGAGTGGGTAGAACGCTAACTGGCATGGATAGTATCTACAAATGCTGGTATGTTTGTATGTATTTATATGTATCAAAATAAATGTAAGCGAATCCAAGGCCTGTAAGACCAAGAGAGGAATCGAAGGTAGTTGCGAAATGTAAAAGCAAAGGTAAGCGTTAATAAAAGCAATCATTGAAGAGCCGGAAAATGTTAACTAAACCTTARAAAGTGCTGACAAATCAGGAACTTCCATATATACCTACATATTAAAGGATGTAAGAAAAAATCATAGCAACGAAGTAGATGGATTGCGCGAAAGGTCTGTTCTGTTGAATGTACKTACAATCATGTGCTTGTATGTGTATTTGTGAAATGATGTGAGGTGTTTGGGGTCACTGTTGGTAAAAACGCCTAGGCGTTCATAATTTAGCTTGTTAAGTGAAAGGGTATATATATTAAGAATATAAATGATAAAAGGGTACGCTCCTGAATATAAAAGTGTGCAGTTGTAATTTGTTGTAAAATTAACCTTTTGAATGTAACAGCTGTTAAGATGATTGATGCTGTGTTGCTGCCAAGTGATTTGATGTAGATTTGAATTAAGTCTTATTTTGATTTTGATTTTTGTTTTTGTTTAATTTTCACTCACAAAAGAATTTAACGTTTCACAAATATTTTTTTGTAAATTTTTATTTTAAAATTAATTTAAAAAATTTTTTTTTAACTTTTTTTTTTTTTTGTTAAAAAAGTTAATTTATTAATTTAATTTTTATGGAAAATTTTGTATGAACAACTTTTGTTTTTTAATGTTTTCAAAAAAATGGATAGTTTATTTCAATCCTGCCACTTGTATATCATATGCTTTGTGCGCAACTTTATGGCACAAAACTTGCCAAACAGCTTTGAATTCTGCTGCTTTGCTAGCCAGCTCATAAGCTTTGTCTTCTACTAGCAATGTTCAAACATAACTTCACAGCAAACCAAAATTGCAGTTCAAAGAGCAGATATCATTTGCAATTTTTTTCGCAATTCGCCGTTTCAAACTGTTGAACACGCATTATTATTATTTTTTTTTTTTTTCATAAATTGTGAATAATAAATATTTTAGAATTATATGCCACAAGCGCACTTCACATAAACTCGCCGAAAAAATGCAACTCGCGCCATTACACGTTTATCCGCAACAACGAACCGTCCATTTCGCAATTGCCGCACAAACTGTTTGTGTTCTGGCAGCAGGCGAACGCACGAACATGGCCATCCAGCCAAGCAGGCAAGCAAACGACGAACCAACCAGTCCACCAAGTCAAACCAACGCAAACGCTGGGCTAACCAAAGYCAGTAGTTGGCGATGTTGGTTGGCGTCTTCGACGGCCGAGGGACCCTACTGTAGCAGCAGCAGCAGTAGCAGCGYCGGCAGCAGCCAGTTTGGCAAGTTCACACAGCAGTCACTGTTGCAGCAGCGACGCCACCGGCATYCGTACATTGCAGCCAGCAATTCATAAGTACACTTGCATATACTCACTCATCACATAGATAAACGAGCGCTCGCCTTGTACCAGGAAATCGAATGGCATGCGAGCGGTTTTTCTGGTTTTGCCCTCCCAAAAGTGCAACGCAATTCGCTCAATGCGGTCGCCACACTTGCGCTCGCTCGCCACTAAATCTAGGCAGACAWGCTTTGCCGCTGTCGCCGTCGTTTGCCACTTCGACACTCGTCSTCGGCGCTCGGCCGCCTATGCACCTTCGTTGGTTCGTTGGCATTCKCCAAATTTGAATGACACCCAATACCCAATACCTATGCTACCTTTTGCCGTCTGCCAGCTACACTAATGCTCGCCGCTTCGGTGGGCAGCTAACCGGCTTGAAAAGTATTTAGCCGCTGCTATTTTTGCATAGAACTACCGACTACTTCTTGCATTGCGACTGCGAAGAAAGCTTCGTACGAAGTAGATATATTACCTGATTTCGCCGGGAAAGTGGCAAAATCACCTGCTCGCTGCAAGAGCGTTGTTTAGGCAGCAATGAAGCTGTTGTTGTAAATGCATCATTTCATTACAACAAGTAATCGCTGATTTCGCTGCTTGTAGTTATGTACTCAAATACTGGGAAGAGTTTGCCATTCAACCGGCTTTTAGTGTCGGCCCTTCGTGCGACTTTGTTATGTTTACACTTATATTTTGGCTCTGTTTATATTGCACTGCGTCGGCGCGAGTTTTTGCATTTACCGCGTTTCTCTTAAGTCACGCTCTTTCGCGGTAAGCAGTGCTGTTACTTTAACATCACCGTTTACATACCGTTATATTTGTATAGTCATGCTTTAAAAAGCACGAAATATGTAAGTTTGGTGTGCGCAGTTTCGATATTATTACGGGTTCTAGAAGTTGAGTTTTTAGTTCTAATTTTTGTTCAAACTAGATGAATTATTTGGAAAAAGACTTAGCAAATATTTCATTACTACACTCTGTAATCCATTGAAGTAATTATGTAAAAAGTGTTTCATTACGTGGTCCCTATTTTTTTTTTTTTTTTTTTTTTAATAAAAAACACAGATTTTTCGAAGACTCGTTCTAGCATTTCGACTAAGACACGTCATGTTTTACTCCAAGGCCTAAATGTCCGCAGCGACCTTAGACTTTACACGTCCCTACAGGAAAAAGTCTAACGATATGATATCACACGATTTTAGTGGCAATCCATCGGTCAAAAACGTGAAATTATCTGCTCACCGAAGTGTTGTCTAAATAAAGGTATATCCATTGATTCATGCGGTGTGTGGGAATTGGCGAAATTTTATTAAAACGAAATGTCGCCGAGATCACGTGCTTCAATTTCAGGTATCAAATTATCGGTTATCATTGCACAATAACGGTTGACATTGACAGCTTCGTTTTTAYCGGCATCATTTTTGGAGAAATATGAAGCGATGATTCCACCGGCCAACAAACCACGCGAGACAGTGTTTTTTTCAAGAAAAAAAATACAACACTTGAATCTATTTAGGTTGCTCTTCGTCCCATATGCGGAAATTTGGCTTGTTTAGAAACCCATAGGGGCAGAAATGGCCCTCATCGCTAATCAAAATTTGGCTTAAAAATTTTCTCAATATTTAATTGAGATACCTTACTTATTAAATAAGTATACGGTAAAAATTTAGATAGAAAAACAGAGATTCTCATATTTRGTTCATGGACGCTATGAAAGGTATAAAGCAATCACAACTATTTTGGTATGACAGAAACTGGACCACACACGGACGGACAGACAGGCATATTGTCTAGAAATATTACGATCCATGAATAGCTTCTCGAATCAGAGTATTGAAAATTCTTCCAATACCATGAAATGGCAGCTTTAATCAATTAATAATTAGTTGTAGGAATGCTTTAGTTTCTATGAATACATTAATTACTTAAGTGAGTGACGATAAAAAACAAGTTATGAACGAGAACAACGTATGCAAAATCTCCATATTTGCCTCAGCTTAAATATATGATTCMTTCATATACAAAACTTATTTGTGGAAGGTAGGGAAAGTATTCAAAATGAGAAGTAGAGACTGAGCCACTTTTCTTTTCTGGCCTGAGCTTCTACATCGATAGCATAAAAGGTATACAAATATTTGAACAAGATATTCATAGGTCAGCAATAACTTCGAAGATTTTATCGTCGTCTTGGATACTAATACTTGATTCCAATTGTTCAGTTTGTATAGTAACTCAATGCTGTGGTAGTCCGATATCGGCAGCTCCGACACAAAAGAGCTGTTAGTGACAAAAATGTGTGAGCAAAATTTTATATGGATGTCCCGAAAACAGAGGAGCTAGGTATTTTAGATATACTACACGCCTACCGACAATACAAGCAGGTCACATACCATATTTAAAACTAAAACTTAACCTTTTCAAACATCAAACTATACTCTTTCGAGGAGAATGGCAAGACACCTTTGACTTGGCAGTTTATTGCCATTGTACATGAGCGACAACTCAATGTCAATGCCTGCAATGCAATTTTCTTTTGCCAACTTTTTCTCATTTCTCAACTATTTTGCGAATTCRTGCTGCTTTCGAGCCCACTCACACTGCCTACACGTACACGTATGTATTTCTGTATGTGTGTGCGTGTGTGTGGACACAAAGTTGTATTTGATGGTATCAACATAAATTTTGTTTACAAATGGATATGAGAAATAAAGAAAAACCGTACAAGATATATTTACAAAGTCGCGCTTTTAGCAAGAGCAACCTTCAAGACAAACAGTCAGACAAAAACAACAGACAAAGAGACAGACAAACAGTCGGACAGACAGTTAGGCAGGCAGACAAACAACCAGAAGGTTAATMAAGCCAGTCGGTTTCAGGGCGAGTGCAACTTGGACGACGCGAAGGCGGTGTAAGAAGATAAGCAGTGAGACCCATGTCAGACAACGAAAATGCCGCGCCGACTTTTGTATGCTCGCACAAAATAAATGTTGCAACAGATACCTTCTGCTCATGGCAAAGTGCTAGACGTGTCTCCCTCACAYATAACACGCCGCCGCATTGCGCTGCATTATTGTGGTTGCTGTTGTTGTTCTTCCTTTTCTGTTGCTGTGCCACGTTGATGTCTGCAACTTGAATGAATTGTTGCAGACACATTTTGAAGTTTGGCAATGCCGTGCCCCTATTGCCACAAAGTCTTCGCTSCGCACTCACTCAGTCAGTCACTTGAGCAGCAAAGCAGCGCGCCAAAGCTGCATACTCACATATTAAATATGTATGTATGCGTGGGTATTTGTGTGTAATGGCACATAGCGTCTTTTCAAAGCCTTTGGGGTACGTTTTGACTGTCTTCAATCGCCGTCAGTGGCATGCAACTGCAGGAGCGCACCAACAGCCAAACCCGGCCAGACCAGACCGGCCGCCGACTGACAAATGAAATRTTAGACAGACATTTTTATTTGCACAAAAGTGAACACGCGCGCGCATTTCATTCAAAATGTGACGCTTCAATGCGAATAGCTGTGGGAACTTTTACATTGCACGCTGTTGCGATTTTACATTTGATATTGATGGCGTTTTCGGTCGATGTTCGATAAATGATACAATTTTCTTGGATGATCCTCCTGCGGAGATTCGGAAAAGTTCGAAAAGAAAGGGCGGTATTATTTTTATTATATTGTGAGTGATGTGCTCGTGTTTTCCAATGTTTCATTTTATTTAAGTCGGCTGTTGGCAGACATATTCGAATTATCGAGGTGGGTAAGGTGGTTTGTTGAGAATTCTTACCCTTCTACTGGGTACTGACCACTCTGCTTTGACGGGTTGAAATGGAGCTCAYGCTCAAATTAGCATGAGGTTCTCTAATTCTAAGCTCCTATCCGAGTGTTTAGCGGATTTCCCAAGTAGCTTCTAATGGTCAACCTCGAAGTTTCAATTAATGCAATGAACACCGCTATTAAAAAATATTCCACAGCATGAAATGGAACTACCTCTACGCCGTTGTGTCTGACCTTGGTGATCATATGAGGTGAGATAATAAAATAATGAAACGAGCGTACMATTTTCTGTAAGAATTTATAGCTACTAGCGTCCGCCAAAGATATTATACGGATATTAGGTTGTCAAAAAAAGCMTTGCGGTATTTTCGCTAGTTGGCGCTGAGAGCGCCTAGTTCTAGTTTTAT